TTTTTTTTTTTATTTTTGGCCAGTCTTGGGGCTTGAACTCAGGACCTGGGCACTGTCCCTGAGCTTCTTTTGCTCAAGGCTAGCACTCTACCACTTGAGCCACAGCACCACTTCTGGCTTTTTCTGCTTATGTGGTGCTGAGGAATCGAATCCAGGGCTTCATGCATTCTACCACTGAGCCACCTTCCCAGCCCTGGTTTACATTTTTATAGGTCAGTATCAAAATAAAAACATTTATTTCCAGGAAGTATTGAGGCTAACAACCCTATTTACATATGTCTGTCTTTACTTTTTAAAAATTTAATGTTATTATTACTATAAAGGTAATTTATAAAGGAGTTACAGTTACGTTAGGCAAGTCATGAGTACATTTTTTTTTTTTGGACAATGTCACCTTGTTCCTCCTCTCTCCCAGTTTTTCCCTTCCATCCCTGCCCACAAGTTTGTATAGTTTGTTTTCAGCATAGTTTCTTCTAAGTAACACTGCTGCCTATGGGTTTTGTTGTTGTTGTTCTGTTTTGTTTTTTGTTAGTTGTGGGGTTTGAACTCTGGCCCTGGGCACTCAAGGTTTTGTTACTTGAGCCATATCACCATTTCCGGTTTTCTGGTAGTTTATTGGAGAGAAGAGTTTCATGGGCTTTTCTGCCTGGGCTGGCTTTGAACAGTAATCCTCAGATCTCAACCTCCTGAGTAGCTAGGATTACAGGCAGAAGCCACCAGCACCTGGCTTGCCTATGTTTTTTTTTTTTTTATTGTTGTAGCATTTATTTATTTTTTATTATTAAGTTTTTTTATTGTGAAAATACCATACAGAGGGGTTACAATTATATGAGCAAGGTAATTTCTTATCAAGCATTGTTGCCTCCTTTGTTTCCCCTTACTATCCCTGCCCTCCCAACCCCACCCCCACCAAAGTTGTAAAAGGTCTTGTACATCTCATTGTTGCAATGGGTCCTCCTGTATCCATATTTAAACAATTTTTTTCTCTTCCCCTCCACAAATTATACTAACATCAAATACAGTGAAAACGGGTTATACCGTGGGAGAGGGACATACAAAGCAACAAAGGAATCATAAATATGTTAGAAACAATAGTAAGAAAGAAAAACAAATTAAGTCCTTATCTTAGGGTTCATTTTGCCTAACATCAACTTGTCTATTTCTGCTTGTCTCAGACATATACTACTTATTGCAAATAAGGGAAACCATGGGACCTATGTTCTTTGGGCCTGGCTTATTTCACTTAATATAATTTTTTCCAGGTCTTTCCATTTCCTAACAAATGTGGCAATGTCATTCTTTCTGATGGAGGCATAGAATTCCATTGTGTATATGTACCACATTTTCTTGATCCATTCATCTACAGGGAGGCATCTGGGTTGGTTCCATATCTTAGCTATGGTAAATAATGCTGCAATAAAAATAGTTGTGTTGGTAGCCTTAGTATGGTTTTGTTTGTGATCATTCGGGTAAATGCCCAAAAGTGGGATTGCTGGATCATAGGGAAGATCAATGTGGAGTTTATTAAACGAATGCAAAAAAACCATAGAAAGAATCAACAAAACAAAGAAAAATTAACAAAACTTGACAGACTCTTAGCAAATCTTATCAGAAAAAGAGAACGCACCCAAATAAACTCAGAGATGAGAATGGAAACATTGCCACAGAAACAACCAAGATTCAGAACATTATAAGGGATGCTTCTCAAATCTTTATGCTAATAAGTTTGAGAACCTGGCAGAAATGGACCTTTTCCTAGCAAATATTGACATGCCGAAACTAAACCAAGGTGAGTTAAGCCAATTTAACAGGCCCATATCAAGCATTGAAATAGAAACAGCAATAAGAGACCTCCCATCTAAGAAAAGCCCAGGACCAGATGGTTTTACAGTGGAATTCTACAAGGCCTTCAAAGTAGAGCTCACACCAATACTCCTCCAACTCTTCAATGAAATTGAAAGTTCACTACCGAACTCATTCTATGAAGCCATCATAACCCTCATCCCCAAACCAGGCAGGGACTTGTCAAAAAAAGAGAACTATAGACCCATTTCTTTGATGAACATTGATACAAAACTTCTCAACAAAATTTTGGCCAGTTGACTTCAACAATTCATCTAAAAAATCATGCCTATGTCTTTTAAAGTTAAAAACTTAAAACTTGGAAGGATGGGCTCTTGGTGAAAGCCTATAATCGAAGCTAGTCAACAGGCAGAGATTAGGAGGATCATGGTTAGAAGCCAAAAGGGCTGAGTGCCTGGCTCAAGTTGTAGTTTGTGTAGTCTTTAGTTTGAATCCCAGTACTGCCAAACAAGAAAGCATTCAGGAGCAAAGGTTAATGTGAAAATTTCAGTGTGGGAGTAGATGACTCAAGACTTATGATTCAGATAGTTCATATAGGAAACACTTCTTGAACATTTGGCCCATTCTTGTTTAAAAAGTGAAGAGCTGAGGAAGGAGAGATCCCAGTGTGAGGTGAACTTGATGTAACAATATAAAAAGTCACAGCCAGGCACGGGTGGCTCATGACTGTAATCCTAGCTACTCAGGAGACTGAGATCTGAGAATCTCAGTTCGAAACCAGCCTGCACAGAAAATTCCGTGAGACTCTCATCTCCAGTTAACCACCAGAAAAGCACTAGCCTTAAGCAAAAGAAGCTCAGAGGCAGTGCTTAGGCCCTGATTTCAAGCCCCATGACAGACAAAAAGGAAAAAAAAATTTAAAAAGTCAGGTTACTTGCTAACCAGAATTATTTAATATTAGACATTTTTTCCCCTTGCATACCTCTAATCCTTTGCATGGTAACTTTCCTGAAGAGTTAGTCATGTAACAACAGCGCCCAACTTGGAGCAACAGTTTTCCTTCTGGCTGAAGTTAAGTTGAAATTGTTAAAAACCTTTCTGCCACTCAGCGGGGGACCTTTGCTTATCTAACCCTTTCAGCTTGTCCTGTGTATGTGTGTGTCAGGTTGATAAAAGGGCAGAATGGATTTGGTTTTCTTCTCAAAAGCCTCACCCCCAAAGACTGCACCCCAGAGAGGAACTCAGCCTAGGATAAGCTCACTTTCCAGGTAGGGAGGACATGGACTGGGAAGGGAACTAGCTCAGGAAAACGCTCCTTATTTCCCCTCTTCCTCCATGCAGTAGTAGTGGATAAGATTTGTGTCAACATTTTCCCTCTGTCTTGCCACTGGTGGTAAAGTCTTAGAAGTGGAGAGTAGTGGAGTACAAGGGGACTGGACTATCCCATAGCCTTGAAGGCCATTTCTAGCTTTCTCCTCACCCAAAAAACCTTGGTAAATAGCTAATGAGGACTCCAGATGCAGAGAAGCTCAAAAGGCAATGTGCCCTTGAAATCAGTTTCTCACAGTGAAAGGCTAATGCAGTCCCCCATAACAGTCACTGTTCTTTTGTTAAGAAACTGAAATTTCTGTTCTCTTTACAATTGCTTTTATTTATTTTATTTATTTATTTTTGTCAGTCATGGGCCTGAACTCTGGGCCTGGGTGCTGTCCCTCTGCTCTTCAGCTCAAGGCTAGTGCTATACCACTTGAGCCACATGCCACTTCTGGCCTTTTCTGCTTATGTGGTGCTGAGGAACTGAACTCAGGGCCTCATGCATGCAAGGCAAGCACTCTACCACTGAGCCGCCTTCCCAGCCCTCTTTACAGTTGCTTTTAAATTGCAGAAGTAGTAGCTTGGTGCTGGTGGCAAATGCCTATAATCCTAGCCACTCAGGAGGCTGAGATCTGAGGATTTTGGCTGGGCAGGAAAATCCAGGAGATGTTTATCTGCAATTAATTGCAATTAATCAGCAAAAAGCTGGAAGTGGAGGTGTATGGATCAAGTGATAGAGCAAACTTAGGTAGGGAAAAAAGCCTACTAAGAGACTGAAGCCCTAAATTCAAGCCCCAGGCCTAGCATAAAAGAAAAATTGCAAAAGAAGTATGTGAAGCTGGGCACTGGTGGCTTAATCCTATAATCCTAGCTATTCAGGAGGCTGAGAGCTGAGGATCGTGGTTGGGGGCCAACCTGGGCAGGAAAGTTCGTGAGACTCATCTCCAATTAACCACCAGAAAACCAGAAGTGGTTCTGTGGCTCAAAGTGGTAGAACACTATCCTTGAGCAAAAAGAGCTCAGGGACAGTGCTCAGGCCCTGAATTTAAGCCTTATGGACCCCCTCCCACCCAAAAAATGATATGTGGTCATTACTGAGAAAAATTTAGTCAGATCACTCCCAAATGTCAGTACTCAAAGGTGGTAACTACTGCTAACAGTTTATATCCTTTCCCCTGACTCATAGACTCATGCATGAAATATCAGAAAACTTTCTCGTGTAAATGTAGGATTTTACAAGATGATCAGTAACATAAAACAGTATGCTCAAAACATTTTGTGTGTGTGTATGCTGGTCCTGACACTTGAACTCAGGGCCTGGGTGTAGTGTCTGAGCTTTATTTCTTAAGATTAGTGCTGTACACTTGAGACACAGATGTATTTATGAAAGTCTTACAGACTTTCTTACCTGGGCTGGCTTTGAACTGTAATCCTCAGATCTTAGCCTCCTGAATAGCTAGGATTACAGGAGTGAACCACTGATAACCAGTTCATAAAATATTTTTAGTGACTTTAAAAACAGTACCTAAAATTGTAGCACTTTAAAAACTGAAGTAGGAAGATTATAAATTTGAGATCACCCTACACTATTTAGTGAAACTGTCAAAAAAAAAGTAAAATTTAAATGTGTTCTAGAAAGATGTATCATATTTTTAAATTAGTCTTCTGTTGATAGATATCTGGGATATGGAAGAGGAAGAGGTCTGATGAAAATAGAAACAGGACTCTGTGTTAGCACACAATCCCCTTTGCTTTTCTTGTGTTACTAATTAACTGTGCTGGGTGATGTCTCATAAAGATTGTGTTTAACTTTGTTATGGTTTATTAGCTGGGCAAGTATTGAGGAACAAGAGTTCATCCTGAAAGAATGCTTAAGCAGTTTACTAAAAGTATGGCTAGGGAGGGCTACTCAGCAACTGAGACTTGATTTTTTTAGCCTGTAGCTCCCAAGGAATTAGGAGGGAAAAGAACATTTCAGGCTAGGGGAGGTTAGGGAAGAGGGATGAGTAGAGTGTTAGCACAAAGTACTTTTCCTATACTCAGTTTGGTGGGGGAATAGTGGGCTCACTCTCCACTAGAATTCAACAGGCCTGGAATACTGTCTTGTTACATTGTTTTTATCTAATGAATCTATTCATGGTCAGCATATAGAACTGTGTGGCCTTTTTTTTGTGGGCTGTGGAGCTTGAACTTTGGGCCTGGGCGCTGTCCCTCAGCTCTTCAGCTCAACGCTAGGGCTCTACCACTTGCGCCATAGCGCCATTTCCGGTTTTCTGGTGGGTTATTGGAGTTAAGAGTCTCACGGACTTTGCTTCCTTGGGCTGGCTCTGAACTGTGATCCTCAGATCTCAGCCTCCTGAGTAGCTAGGATTACAGGCGTGAGCCATCGGCACCTGGCTCTGTGCATGTTTTTATAGGACAACTTTCAATGCCTCATGTTATTGAAGTATTTATTGTGTCAGTACTGGAGCTTGAACTCAGTATTTCAAACTCTGCTTGGCTTTTGTACTCAAGGCTGGTGCTATACCACTTGAACCACACCTCCACTTCTGGCTTTTTTCTGGCTAGTTGGAGATAAAAGTCTCATGGAGTTTTCTATCCAAGCTGGCTCTTCTCTGTGATCCTCATTAGCTAGGATTAACAGTGTCAGCTACCATCATCTAGTTTAGTAGTCTGGGGCTGGGCCTGGGCACTATCCTTGAGCTTTTCTGCTCAGGGCCTAAGGGTCTACCACTTTGAGCCACAGTTCCACTCCCAGCTGTTTCTGAGTAGTTTTATTGGAGCTATAGTCTCAGGGACTTTCTTGCCCAGGTGGCTTCAAATGCTGACCCTCAGACCTCAGCCTCCTGAGTGGCTAGCGTCACAGCCAAGAGCCAGCAGCGCCTGGCTTTTGGCCTTTTCCTTGTCATTGGATTGAGCACCTACCTGGATAATCCTGGATAATCTTCTTGAGATCTCTTATTGATATCTGCCAAGATGAGTCTTCTAAATAAGTTAGTGTTCACAAATCTGACATCTCTTTTAAAAAAACCACCTTTCAAACCTCTCCACAGTGTGAAAAACAAGATAGGGATCTCTGTACCCTCCAACACTGCACTTGGTCAATCACCGTCTTATCTAGGGAAGCCTTAAGAGCGAATAGTCAGCCCTGCTGAGTGTGAGCACAAATTCCAGGAGAGAAAAAAGTTATGGTCTAGAGATTATTAGGGTGACTCATGAGAGGAGTATGATACAGATGCCACTGGGCGCTGAAGGCAGACTGTTTCTTCTCATTAAAGTAAGGTCCTTCAGCTTCTTCACTTCCTCCTGCAGGTTCCCCAGCACATGATTGGGGTAGGCTGTAAGGGGGATATGCTGGTCATTTCTTTTATAATTGGAGATAAGAGTCCCACAGACTTTCCTGCCTAGGCTGCCTCCTAAGTAGCTAGGACTACAGGTGTGAATCACTGGTGCCTGGTCCAGTACAGCGTTTTGCTGGTTAATTGGAAATAGAATCTGGAGGACTTTTCTGCCTTGGCTGGTTTTGAACTTTAATCCTCTTGGTCTTAGCCATCTGAGTAACTGGAATTATAGGCATGTGCCTCTGGCACCTGGCTATTAGTCATTTTAAGATTCATAGGAAACTGTTCTATATGAGTCCCACAACTTCCCAACACCATGGGATGTAAGTTAGTGGTACAGTGCTTTGCCTAGCCCAGGGTTCAATCCCATGAAACCGTATCACTTCCTTAAAAAAGCACCATTACCTGAAGAAAGCATTACACAAAAGACTTTGCACAATGCTCTCGTAGTGTATTTCTGTCTTCATCTTGTTTTCATTTGAGCACACCAGCCTTATTGCTGGAATGTCTGCATTGGTAACGACTCTGCCTGACTTTCTTTAACAGGTGCCAACCAAACATCTAGAGGAAGAAGTCTCATTGGAAGGAACAAGGGCCACTCTTCAGTCACTGTGAAAGGAGTGAAAGGGGAACCAGGCTTCACTGTGGATGAATTTTCTACAGAAGTGCTCACCGGGAAGCTGACTACTGTCTTTCTTCCTGTCGTCTATACCATTGTCTTTGTGGTTGGCTTGCCCAGCAACGGCATGGCCTTGTGGGTTTTTCTTTTCCGAACGAAGAAGAAGCACCCTGCGGTGATTTACATGGCCAGTCTGGCCCTGGCAGACCTCCTGTCTGTGATCTGGTTCCCCCTGAAGATTGCCTACCACATCCATGGCAACAACTGGGTCTATGGAGACACCCTCTGTAAAGTGCTCATTGCCTTTTTCTATGGCAACATGTACTGTTCTATTCTCTTCATAACCTGCCTCAGTGTGCAGAGGTATTGGGTCATCGTGAACCCCATGGGTCACTCTAGGAAGAGGGCTGCGATCGCCATTGGTGTCTCCATGGGAATATGGCTGCTGATTCTGCTGGTCACCATCCCCTTGTACATCATGAAACAGACCGTCTACATCCCAGACCTCAACATCACCACCTGCCACGATGTGCTGCCTGAGGAGGTGTTGGTGGGGGACATGTTCAATTATTTCCTCTCTCTGGCCATTGGAGTCTTCATGTTCCCAGCCTTCCTCACAGCTTCGGCCTATGTGCTTATGATCAGAACACTCCGATCTTCTGCCATGGATGAAAACTCAGAAAAGAAGAGAAAGAGGGCCATCCGGCTCATTATCATTGTCCTGGCCATGTACTTGATCTGTTTCACTCCAAGTAATCTTCTGCTCGTGGTACATTACTTCCTGATTAAAAGCCGAGGCCAGAGCCACGTCTATGCTCTCTACATCTCAGCCCTCTGCCTGTCCACACTCAACAGCTGCATTGACCCCTTTGTCTATTACTTTATTTCAAAAGATTTCAGGGATCACGCAAAGAACGCGCTGCTTTGTCGAAGTGTCCGCACTGTGAAGAGGATGCAAATATCCCTCACCTCAAAGAAATTCTCCCGGAAATCCAGCTCTTACTCTTCAAGTTCCACCAGTGTTAAGACCTCCTACTGAGTTCTGTCCATGGATGGAAGTGGTACGGTCGGATGTGAAGTGTGCTTCATGGGGGGAGATGGTGGCTGTGCCCCAACCAAGCCAGTCTGCACAGATCATGGGTATACAGGATTGCTCAAATCTTCCCTGAAAAGTCCCTACGTGAACAGAGCTGTCAGTGTCAGAAATCCCACTACTCAGATGTCAGAACTGATCTGTCAGTAGCAGACTTTTCAGAAGCCCGGTGACTTGCCAAAAACCACAACGGACTTGAAGACTGAGTTCATAACAGAAACTTTATTCTCTACATCTGAAGTCCACTCTGGCCCTGCTAGGGCTTGAGGGCCTCCAGAGAGCATCTGACTGACTTTACAGTGGAGGAAGATGAGGATGCTGACTCTCATGAATGAACTGCCTGGAGTCAGATTTCCAGCCAGTCACAGCGAATGAACTTGGGTTGGATGGAGTCACTTGTTCAGTGCTTTGTATACTAGTATCATCTTAGTAAAAGAGTGGGTCCTGCCAGGCACAAGTGGCTCACACCTGTAATCCTAGCTACTCAGGAGACGGAAGTCTAAAGATTGCAGTTCGAAGGCAGCCAGGGTAGGCAAGTCTGTGAGACTTACCCAGTTACCCAGCAAAAAAAAGCTGTAAGTGGAGTTGTGGCTAAAGTGGTAGAGTGCTAGCCTTGAGCTGGGAAAAAAGCTCAGGGACAGTGACCAGGCCTTGAGTTCAAGTTCCATGCCGGTCACAAAAACAAAAATGTGTGGGTTCCTCAGCTTCAGTAATGAGGCTTCGATGGGAACAGGCCTACTTTACCAACCTGTTGTTTGATGTTTATGTGGATAAAGGTTTGAGGACTGCTTTTTTGAGCAGGACTTCCACTCCAGTAGGTGCCATGATCATTTCTAAGAAAAGCTGTTAAGAACGTTTTGTGTCTATGTTCAGCTGATAAGAATATTTCTTGTTGACTTATAAGGATGGCCAGTTATTTCTTCGTTCATCCTTTGAATTTTGTGCTTATTGTTATTCAAGAAAAATGCAAGGATCTTAAACATGTAAAGATAAATTTTGTATATTTTTTTGTACTGACTTCAGTCAGAACTATAGACTGTTTTGCAACTAAGAATAACTTTTACGCTGGGCACCGGTGGCTCACTCCTGTAATCCTAGCTACTGAGGAGGTTGAGATCTGAGGATCACGGTTCAAAGCCAGCATAGGCAGGAAAGTCCGTGAGACTCTTATCTCCAAAAACCCACTAGAAAACTGGAGGTGGTGCTGTGCTCAAGCGGTAAAGCGCTCATCTTGAGCTGAAGAGCTGAGGGATAGAGCCCAAGCCCAGAGTTCAAGCCCCACGGCCGACAAAAAAAAGAAAAGGAAAAAAAGAATAACTTTTACCACTTAGTATTTTTTAAAATATTGTTGAAATATTTATTGTCAGTTTTGTTCACTTGTAATCAAATAGGAAGTTTCAGAGTCCTCACAGTGTTTGAGGTATGTCTTGTTTGAAAAATACCAGGAATGTAGAAGAGTTTACAACACATTTAAGAGGGTTGACTCCAAACTGACTTTATACACCTGTTGTGTTCGTAACTTTAGAAAAGTTATTGTAAGATTTATAAATAATACATGACTTTTTTAAACAACTTATTTCTAAACTGCTTGTTATGTTTGTTTGAAAAGGAGGGAGTGGGGGAAAATCTTGCAGTGGTCACACTTAAAAAAATTTTTTTGCCAGGCACTGGTGGCTCATGCCTGTAATCCTAGCTCCTCAGAAGGCAGATCTGAGAATTGAGGTTCAAAGCCAGCCCAGGCAGGAAAGTGTGAGACTTTTATCTCCAATTAGCCACCAGAAAAGCAGAAGTGGTGCTGTGGCTCAAGAGCGCTTGCCTTGAGCTGAAGAGCTGAGGGACAGTGCCCAGGCCCAACGTTCAAGCCCCACGACCCCCGCCCCGCCCTGCAAAAATAGCACTGGGACTAAGTTTTGAATTCAGAGCCTGGAGCTTGCTCTATATTTGAGCCACATTTCTAGCCTCTCCCCTTCCTCCCCCCCACCCCCCATTAGAGATAGAGTGGGTAAACATCTCAGCATCCTGAGTAGCTAGACTAGAGAGGCTGTGGCTCACATCCAGTTTTAAAGGATACAAAGTAGTCTTTTGGGTACATTCCAGTGTACTTGCAGTGATTACTCTAGGGCTCCTGAATGTTTCCACCTACCTGCCCTCTTGCCTGTTAAAACAGACATCTTGTAGGAAAAGTTTCTGGAAGTAGAATATCTTGCTCAGAATCTAAATGTCTGCTTTAGGGCTGGTGGGTGGGGCGGAGAACGGGGAAGTGTGTGTGTGTGTGTGTGTGCCCGCGTGCACGTGCACACGCGGGGGGGGGGTAGGGAGGTAGCTGAGCAATAGAGCACTTGCTCCTACTCCAGAAGGCAGGGGATGGTTTTGTTACCTAGTGTCCATTTTGAAGATGAAGGCTTTACCAAGTTGCTATCTCTGGTGTCTACTGCTACTGTAATAGTAACCCTAAACCATTTCCTGAAATACTCAGCCCCACTTGGCACCACGAGGGCGCGAGGGCGCGTGGTGTATTTGTGAGGGCTGCTCATGATTTTTTTTTAATTAGTTAATTGAATAATTTTATGTGGTACTGAGGAATCGAACCCATGGCCTCATGCATGCTAGACAAACACTCCACCACTAAGCCACATTCCCAGCCTGGACTCATTATTTTACAATGAACTACAGAGAATGTTTCCTAAAAAGTACAGCCTAGTGGCTAAGAGTACACAGTTTGAATTGCACTGAATTCCAACTCATTCCTGAACTCTGGACCTGGGCGCTGTCCCTCAGCTTTTCAGCTCTAGACTAGCACTCTACCACTTGAGCCACAGTACCACTTCCAGCTTTTTCTGCTTCTATGGTGCTGAGGAATTGAACCCAGGACCTCATGCATGCAAGGCAAGCACTCTACCACTGAGCCACCTTCCCAGCCCCTCATTCATTTCTTATACTTGTGAAGTTTTCATTACTTTATAGAATACTCTTCTTAGCTTGACAAATGATGATAGTGTCTTCTTCACAAAGCTACTAAGATAAAATATCTATACACTCACAAAATACTATAGTGGCAGGGCACTTGCCCACCATATATATTAGGTAAAACCCTGGGTTGGTCATCAGCAATGAAAATAAAAAGATTTGAAAAATAGATGTATAAGAATTTTATTTGCTGTTGAAAAAAAAATTATAAGGTAACTTTCTTATGCTTTGAGAAGTAGTTTAGGAAACCTGCTCTACCAGAACGGTACACTGATTGGAGATGGAGACAAGTCTAGCCTGAGCGTGTGTTGTTTGTTTTTTCTTCTGAGTATGTGCCTGTCTTGAGGCATGAACTCAGGGCTTAGAGGCTGTCCCTGAGCTCTTGTGCTGTAGGCTAGTGCTCTACCACTTGAGTCACAGCTCCACTTCCTGTTTTTTGGTGGTTTATTAGAGATAAGAGTCATAGACTTATCTGCCCAGGCTGGCTTCAAATTGGAATGCGGTTGTTTTTGCTATTGTGTTCTGTTCCACATAGTCTGCTTATTTTGGAAGGATCTGAGTTATAAAATATCCAAAAAAGTGCATAATTTTCCCTTTACTGGCTCATTTCCTAAAGCGCTTCTTTTCTGAAAGTGAATGCAGATTGTGCCTTTTTGTTCAAAATTCACTGCTAAGTTGATTGTTTGGAACTCTTCTGGAAATTGCCTCGTGTGTCACTCCTGCTGTTTATTACAGGAGTTTCAGACTTGTAATTTATTAACAGGCTATCAAGATTCCCTAAGCCCTGGGGCTGCAATCTCATCAGTATGCATAGTTTAGGGATTACAACTTTGTTTTCCCTAGACTTTAACCCTTTGAGGGCTGCCTAGGGTACTGCCATGTTACAGAATCAAAAGTAATGCTGCCTCAGGTGCATGGGATTTTGTTGGGGAGTTGGGATGTCTTCCCTACCTGAGATTTCCTAATTCCCCACCACTGAAAGGCTCGTGGCCACCCCCCCTCATCTCCCCCACCTCCAATTCTGCAGGAAAAACAAAACAAAACAAAAGCCAGATCTCTGGAATTGAGGATGGAGACCTTCCTCATCATTCAAGTCCTGGAACTTCAGAGATGGTCATTATATTTCAATGTAAATATTTGTAGCCACTCAGATCACACTGAGAGAATGCTTACATTGAGGAAACATATGAAGGATTCTGTGGTTTGGGTTTTTTGTTTGTTTTTGGTCAGTCATGGGGCTTGAACTCAGAGCTCTTTTGCTCAAGGGCTGGCACTCTGCACTTTGAGCCACAGCACCACTTAATTGGAGAGTCTCAGGAACTTCCTGCCTGGGCTGGCAGCGAACCATAATTCTCAAATCTCAGCCTCCTGAGTAGCTAGGATTACAGGTGTGAGCCAGGGGTGCCTGGCATTGTTGTTTGGGTTTGAGCTGTTCTTGTTTCTACCTGTTGGTCAATCTGGAATATTTCCCAGAGATCTGTTTTTGTTGGTGAGATGGTAGTGATGAAACTACAGCCCAGGACCTGCGGATGTGTTCAGGAACTCTAGCACCAGCAACATAGTAAGTGGTTCATTCCTTTAGCCTATGGATATCTATTCACCATTACTGCATTATTAAGGAAAACAGATAAGTCAGGATTCCTAGATGAGCAACCATCTAGTCATGAGGTTGATGGTCTTGGTGAAGTGTGTGTGTGTGTGTGTGTGTGTGTGTGTGTGTGTGTACGCGTGCGTGCATATATACCAGTTCTAGGGCTGAACTCAGGGCTTGGGTGCTGTCCCTTAGCTGTTTTTGTGCAAGTTTGGCACTCCACCACTTGAGTTACAGATCCATTGTAGCTTACAAGTGGTAAATTTGTGGCTAGTTTGGGCTGGCTTTGAACTGAGGTCCTCAGATCTCAGCCTCCTGAGTAACTAGCTCCTATTACAGCTCCTGGCTGAAATATTTTAATAACAATAATAAGAACAATATCAAATAAACTCAACCCTCTAGTGGTCCAGCTGCTCAGAAGCCATTGTTTATTTGGGTGGTGCTGGGATTTGTACTCTTATCTTGTGCTGTGGAGGAAGGTGCCCTCCATCATTTGCTTTAGCCATCTTTTCAGTTAGAGTCTATTGTTTGTTTTGCCTGGACTGTCATAACTGTATTTACTTCCTGTGTAGCTGAGGTTACAGGTATGTGTCTTTAGCATTTAAAACAAGGAGCTTTGGGAGATTATTTAGGGGACGGAAAGTAGATGAAGAGACAAGTACACAGGACTTCGAAGGTTTTGACAGAGCTTTGAGGACCCAGTAAAAGAAAAGGACCAGCTGTGGGCCCAGAACAAAGTCTAGAGAATGCTGTCAGGAAGCGAAAGGCATCAAGGAGTGGCTGGTCAGGCTTTCTGCCTATCACTAAGAGGCCAAGTGAGATAAGAGAGACATTCCTATTGGCCCTTACGACATGGACAGTGCTGGTGATGCGGCCAAGCCTAGCAGGCTCAGGGGTATTGTGAGGAATGAATGAAAGTGGATGAGTTCAAGAAAGGAAGGATTTGCACTGGGCAGGATATG